AATATCATGCCTTCTTCATTATCACTAGAAAATGTCCTTTTTTCAGTGCCTCATAATGAGCGTGTCCTTTGTCTTAGAGACTATTTGGCAGCAGTATTAAGATGTTTTCTCTAGTTTTCTTGCATTTGCTATATCAGTAGTTCTTATTTATCTCGAGGCTTCAGTTTACTTGTATACTTATACTTGAAGTGTGGACAATATATAGACAATACTATATAAAGACAGAAGCAGTCTTTATAGCCAGCATGTTATTTTCCCTGTAAAGTGGAGGTTTTAATGTATTTACATTTAATATAGTCACTGCAGCTGGATTCACATTTACTGGCTCCCTATTGGTCACTGCAGCTGGAGTCACATTTACTGGCTCCCTATTGGTCACTGCAGCTGGAGTCACATTTACTGGCTCCCTATTGGTCACTGCAGCTGGAGTCATATTTACTGGCTCCCTATTGGTCACTGCAGCTGGAGTCACATTTACTGGCTCCCTATTGGTGTCTCCTGTCTTTCGTTTCTGCTCCTTCTGCTCTGTCACCCTTTCTGTTAATCTAGTTTTTAAATTTCTGTAGTTACTTTTTGGCTAGTGAAACTGTTCAGCACAGCTTCTAGTAATATCCCTGGGCACACACTATGGATATTTATTTTATAGACTCAGTTGAGGTTCCTGCCTCTCCAGTAACTCTAGCTCGTGTCAAATTATCATAGTACAAGCCAGCACATACAGGTTGTGAGGTGCCTGACCTGAGTGCTGGGAAGCAAACCCAGGTCTTCTCCAAGAGCAGTATGTGCTTTTTACCACTAAACTTGCCTCAAGTTTACCACTCTTGCCTCAAGGGTGACTTTACTTTCAAAGCTTGATCCTTCTGGACTTAGGAAAATTGAAGTTTTACTCAACACCTCTATTTTGGGTGAGATTTGAATTCCCAACTCCAGGCAGGAGCTGTGCACACTGGCATCTCCTCACTACCTATGCAAATTAGGAGCCATTAAAGCACCTGTGGGGATTTAAATACAGGATTGGGGTGGGGGTAGGGTCTCTTTCTTATGGCTTTTTCTTTTATGAAATGTCTGCCCCTAATACACTTTCACAACTGCAGACTTTATCCTCTGACGTGGTTTTCTTCCCTGAGTTCTGGCTGCTCCGTGTGGATGGAAGGGAAGGGGCCATACAAGGGCTCACTCAATCTACTTTGCTTCCTTCCAGGATTAAACTTTCTATACTTGGCTTTAAATTGTTAGACTCCAGTCTTGCTCATACTGGAGTGGGATCCGTCTAACATGAGCTTTTCCATCGTTGATGTAACTGAAACCCTTTGGCGGGTCTTTAAGGTTTTGTTTGTGCCTAAATATTAAATGGTTCCTTTCATCTTGAATCCTTGGCTCATTAATCCTGAAGGAAATCTCAGGTATTTTCCCCATCCCTTTGTCCTATTATGCACTACGCTTACAGCTAGCTCAGCATAACTAAGAGGAGGAGGGAAGGCGCTTCCTTAGAAAGTGTGCTTTGACTTCCAATGCTCTTTGTTTATGGAGACAGATTTGTTGTGTATCTGTGACTTTCAGCTCTTCTGGAGCGCAGCCTGTAGAGCATGGCTGGCTTTGCAGGTATGTCCCATCATGCCTTGGCCACAGTTGATGTCTGCTCAGCCCCATGGAACTCCTAACTTTCCATTTGTCTTTTTCAAGCTCTCTCCCTTTGCCCCACCTCTGACAGCTCTACATCCCGTCTCTATTAAAGTCTGATTCCTGAGCATCTCCTTTCCAAGTCTGACTGTCACTGTCACTGAAGGGCTACAGGGGACTGAAATGTCCTCTCTCCCACAAAGCCACATGATGACCTTCCAACTATAGTACTGCGCTGGTTATTTTTTAGGGATCTGTGACAAAGCAGCTCAAAGACACAATTTAAAGGAGGGAACTATTCATTCTGGTGCACAATTCAGAGGGTCCAGCCCACAGTTTGACCCCATGAGCTTTGGCAGTGTATCAGGACAGCGGAGACAAATGAAGAGATGGTTCTCACCTCACAGTGGACGGGAAGGAGAGAAAGGGACAGAAGGGACCAACACCAAGAGATTCTCAACGATTCCCTTCATGTGAGCTGCCAAGTCCCAGAGCTAATGTCTCCAAATCTTTCCCGATAGTGTCAGCTGGAGGTAACCAAGTGTTCACAACCAGAACTTGAGGGGGACATTTTCTTTTCAGACCAGAACTAATATCTCAGAATGTGACCTCGTTTTGAGATTGAATCCTTATAGAAGCAATCATGTTCAAACGAAGCCATCGGGGTTAAAGTTAATGAGTTGGGCCTTAATCAACATGGCTGGTGTCCTTACAGAAAGAGACCGAGAGAAAGGTGTACATAAGAAGGACACTCTGTGGAGGCACACAGAGAAGACAACCATGTGCTGATGTGAGTCAGGAATTAGGAACCCAGGGAACCGTCCCTTACAACTGTCAGAGGGAACTGACCTCTCCAACCCTTTCGTTTGGGACCAGTGGTCTCCAAAACTGTGAGAAATACATTTCTGTATTGGGTTATGCCATCTAGTCTGTGATATTTTGCAACAGTAGCCCATAACGGGTATACCTCTCCAATGAAAAGTTGTTTCACCTTTTAAAAATTTCCTTCCAAATCATGGCTTGACTTTGTCTCAAGATTGTACATTTCTAAGTATGGTAGGTGGGGATATTTATGCTCTAATTTAACCCTTAATTGGACAACCTTTCTGATCCTCAGATCTCTCATATGTAATGTGTAATGTGGGCAGAGTGTCCCTGCTATACCTATTACAGTAAAACTCAAATGAGGGGTATATGTGTATATTTGTGTGTGTTGTGTGTGTGTGTGTGCTTGTGTATGTAAGTATAGTATATACATATACATGGGTAGGTCTATATACTATCATGCACGAGAATGTCTACACTACCCATGTCTAAGGCATCAGAGTCTTAACCTGTCCATCACACTATATACACCTACACATGTATGTGTATATGATATCACACATGAGAATGTCTACACTACTCATGTCTAAGGCATCAGAGTCTTACACTGTCCATCACAGTGTTCGTCTTGTCTGAGTGTAACAGAAGGTCAGGGAAGGGTTCCAAGAGACTCCAAGCCCACATTGGCCCACTTTTAAGAGGGCCTTGTAAACCCAGCTCTCTGTTTGCTGTGATTTGAGTGGCAACCATGATGTAGTCGACAGAGGAAGACGGAGGGGTGTACCGAGGATTTGATATCACCAGAGGGCTTAATGCCTTGCATACTTAATTTTTATACATTAGAAGAAATAAGGCACGGCGGGGGGTGGGCAGAAAGTAACATTTCAGGGAGTGGATAGAAATATAACGGAAGGAAGAGGGGATCATTAGCAGTGCGTCAAATTGCATGAGTCAAATTGGTGTCTGGTGAGTGAGACTTTAAAATATGTAAAGTTAAGTACAACATGCTGACGGTTTCCTAACATATTTCCGATGCTCTTTTCATCTGTCTGTGAAACAAGACAGATGAAAATTTGTTAGGCATTTCAAAGACTGCTGCTTTCATAATAATCAATCCTCTGATCAAATACCGAATGAAACCCAACTCACTTACCAACAGCTTACCCTCTAGCTGTATACATTTTTATCTCGTCCAAATGGTATGCAAGATGACTAACTCCTTCAGTGACTTTACCCTTTCCAGTTCTTTAGAATGCCTCCAGATGGCATTAAAACTCTTTCCCCATTATATTCTAAAGCACAATTTAAAATTAGCAACATTTTAATCATTTAGGACTGTCATGTTTACTATTTCTGAGATGACACAATGACGAAAGCCATCAGAACATTAAAGGGTAAGACCCTGAGAGACACAACCTATAGAGATGACTATTACCAAACATGCAACCACTTTGTGTAATGCAGAGCCATTCTAGAGAAAGAGATCTTGGACAAAATAAGAACACGATACTACACTGTAGACTATGGCCGCTAATAAAGAGCACTTCAGGTAACAGTGAGAACAGTGATCCAGAAACAGATACAATAACAAAGTCATTTCAATAATAATACATGCTTCATTCCCCCAAAGTAACCCAAATAAACATTTGAAAGCAGAAGCCTGGGATGGATCCTGATTAAACAGTCATATGGTAGTTTGTCCTATGGTGGTATTGAGTATTTGTTTATGAGATAAAAATGATAATAATAATAATTAGTAGCATGATTGTTTGACACTCGACATGGACTCAGTGGCCTGGAGTTCACCATGTAGGCAAGACTGGCTGGCTGCTGAGCCCCATGGATCTGCCTAATACTGTCTGTCCAGTGCTGGGATTATAAGTGTGTACTACATGCCCCAGCAAGCGTTTAACCGACTGAGCTGTAGCTCTGGCACCTGAATTAGATGTCATATTACCATTAAAAACATACTTATATTTTTTCAAGTCTAAGGGAGGAAAAGATGATAACATAAGAACGAGGAACAGGTACCTTCTAAGTGTCTTTCTCATCTTTAAAAAGTGCTTTACTTAAAAACATCAATGGGCTCTTGAGATCTCAGTGGTATTTATGGCTGGGTTTGTCACATATTTTGGAGGTGGGGCTGCAGACGGCAGGCAGGCTTTTTAAGTGACTTGGGTATGTGGCATGCGGGACAGAATGTCCCCCAGCACATGTGCAAGGTTCTGCAAATCTTATGTCAGTGTTAAAAGTCTCCAGCCAAATTTTAAAGGGTTTATCTCCATCCTCCCCAGTATGCACTCTCTAGTCTAATTAGATTTCTACTTTATAAAGAAGAACATTTGCATTTGCCAGATCTGTTTTCTATGCTAAAGCAGGAAAAACCTGAAAATGTGTCTGTACTGAAAGCATTTAAAAAGACATTATCATGAGAAAGAGAACTGTGGGCCTCCTTCCCACTACGATTACCACGATTACAAGATACTTGCACTGTTTCATTTTATAAGGCATATTAAAGAATAGTCATCTCAGAGAGAAACTCGAAAGACACTTACGAAGTGTTCGATGTACCATTGTCTGGACTCTCGGGCTCCGCATCAGCTTTCTCTTAAAAAGGAAGTGGAGAAGAAAAAAAAAAACAAAAACACCAACATCAGTCTCACAGTCTTTAAGATGTAAGATTAAACATACTTCTATGTTCCTATTAACAAGCTTTCAGAGTGTGCAGCAGGAGGCTTTTAAAACATCTTTTATTGTTGGAGAACTGAATGTGAAAAAAAAAATGATTTCGATTTGGCAATACAATTGCCCAGGCACGGGTCCCTGAGTAGGTACCAAGGAGCTATTTGCAAACAAGCAGAGACATGGAGTGCAGACCTTGCCAGAAGATGAATATCTTACAGATGGAATCAGTTTCCCTCCACTACGTTTTACAGAAAGTTGAAGGAAATAAACTCATTAGCGCTGGACATCCAAGGCACTCTGAACTTTGATCCCTTCTGCTAACTCGAGCCAAATGGGGTCAGGCTGAATTAGAACTTGGAGAGAATTTCACAAAACCCTGAAGCCATCGGCATGAGATGTTCAAGAATTTTACCCCCCTGAACAACTCTGGCAGCAGATTTTGGGGCTCCCAATAAAAGCAGAATAATGATATAAACCAGAAATCCCTTCTGACCATCGGAGAGGCAAGTGAAAGTATATTTCTACGCTACGCAGCTATGGGAGATTTAGTTTTAGGAGTTTGGAAGCCATCCAGATTCTTTTCACAACAGGCATAAGGTAATACTTAATCCTGGACCAACTGGTGGTTTGAAATGTGCACCCTCATTTTGTAAGGAGCTTCTCTGGTTTTCTGGCAATGGAAGGAAAGGATTGCTCATGCTATGTGTTACCACAGTGGGCTCTACAGTGCCAATTGTCAAACAAACCCAACAGGAAGGGTTGAGGTGCAGGAGATAAGCCAGTGGCATCAGCTAACCTTCTTTGCATTCATGGCAGGCCTGACATCTCCCAGCATCCTTTCCTTCTGTTTAGCCCCTTCTACCCAAACACTGGACAGGGATAGGAAATACTGCTTGTCCTCTTTCAGCACTGGCTTGTGCTCTTATCTCTTTGGGAATGACCTTCTGGAATATATAATGAACTTATCCAGAAGAATCTGTCCAAACTGAGCCCAGAAGCCTACTATGTATTTTCTTTCAGGAGATTAAACAATTTTGAGGAAGGAAAGACAGTTATATATACATAGCTCAAATTTAACTGTGGTGTGTGTGTTGTGCCAGAATACTCAGGAGAGGCAACTACTCTGTCCAAATCCCATTATTTAAGGAGAGGGGGAAAAAAGCCATAACACCTATGTCAATACCAACCCGACTAGTTGGTGCCTGACCCAAGTGAAACATGTTCACATAAAAGCAAACACGACAGAGTATGGCTTGCTCTAACCCTCCACCCCCTGAGTTTTACATTAAATTGGCTCTTCTGTGGTATGTTCATTTAGGAGACATGTGAGGTCTGGTCAAGGGGCCTGCATGCTGGAAAACAACCTAATTTAGCCCTTTCCAGAATCATTTCCAGGACAAGTACTATTCCTGCCACAATTCCCAAATACAATCATAGCACCAGTGTTATACAAGACAAAATTAAATAAAGGGTTAATTCTGGTATACATTGACTCGCCTCCCTCCCCCCAAGTTTGGAGAAATGGGCTACTTTTTTTTGAATAGCTGTCAACAGTTACACTAAGGCACCATTACAATAGAGGATATCAGACAGGCTCAGCACCATTAGACAGTAAACATTTCCAACAGTTCCTGTCAGAAAACAAGGAATCATTGTAAGATAAAGGAAGTCCTCATTTGGGTGTCTCCATGAATGGTTTACCTTGACCAATAATCCTGCCCAGGAGCCAGGCTGAGAGGAGCCAGGTTGGATTGCACATGGGGTCCAGGGGCTGGAGGTGCTGTGGGCTGGCTTCAGCATGGGCACAATGCCACAGCTCATTATCTCTGCTCTTAGCAGCATTTATGTTGTGGCAACAGGGCAAACAGAAGAGGTTGGACGGATAGGAGGGATAACATAGGGCCAAATGGGACACGCACAGGAGAAGTCTGATAGTGGGTGCTCTAGGCAAACTCGGTGCCAAAGGGACTGGAACTTTCTGGGGAGAAGCAAGGCCCTGATTGAGACAGGTTTTGCAGTTTCTTTTCTTTTTTCTTGTCTTTCAGGAAAAAAAATCCCTCAAGCAAATTAAATCCTCAACATCTTTGAAAATTTAGGTGATGCAATTTCTATAGTCAATTTGAAATGTTCAGGGCACGAGCTACTGAGAATCGTCACCGCTTCACCAGGCCTCCAGGGAAAGTGACAAAGGGCAATCAGAAAGCCTCAGGACCAAGAGTTTGCAGTGGCTGCTTGTGCCCCACAGAGAGGACTCCTGGGAGTCACCTTACATTAGCTCTTGGATGTCAGCGCTCTCTTTTGGGGTGGGAGGGGGATCTGCATTGCTCATTAAAAAGTAAAGCAGAAGAGGTACAGGGTGGTCATTTTGCATATGGAAACAGAATTCCAGATAGGAAATGGGGAAAGGAAATACAGAAAGTATCAGATGGATATCTGTGAAAATGCATGGGATATATGCAAATGTATATAAAGATATTAATCTTTACAGTTTACATCTATCATCTACCTTATCTATCTATCTATCTATCTATCTATCTATCTATCTATCTATCTATCTATCTACCTTATCTATCTATCTATCTACCTTATCTATCTATCTATCTATCTATCTATCTATCTATCTATCTATCTACCTTATCTATCTATCTATCTATCTATCTATCTATCTATCTATCCATCTATGTGTGTGTGCACATGTGCCAGGAGGATGAGGCATGCACACTGTAGCAGGTATGTCTGAGGACAATCTCTGGAGTTGGTTCTCTCCTATTATCTGGGGTCTATCATAGATCTCAGGCATTGAGTACAGGTCACCAGGCTTGGTAAGAAGCACTTTTATTCACTTAGTCATCTATCTATCTATCTATCTATCTATCTATCTATCTATCATCTATCAATGATACTACAGGTAGTATCTATCTACTTACCTACTTACCTATTATCTATAGATAATCTATTATTTATAGATTATATCTATAATCTCTATGTATCTATTACCTACAATCTATTATTTATAGATAATCTATTATCTATAGATTACTTATATCTATAGGTAATATCTATGTCTGTCTATTATCTATAGTTAATCTATTATCTATAGATTATCATCTATCATTTTTCTGTCCTTTCTACTTTTCTTCCTTCCTTCTCCATCTATCCACTGATCCACTCATCCACCATATATGTGTGTGTGTATGATACACATGTTTTCAGTGTCACATGTGTCTCCTTATGCAGTCACTATCATGGAAGTAGAAGACCCTTGGGCCAAGCGCAGCTTAGAGCTTTTAAGGTACAGTCACTATGGAGATGGATAGAGTTTGAGGTGTGAAACAGATCGATCACCAGGCAGGTCATTTAAAACATATAAAGCTTCCTTTATAGGTGATTACATGTCCTGAAGGCTCCTATGTGCCCGGTATTCTGCCTGGTGGAGGTAAAGATAAAAAAGATAACTGATTCCCATTCCTTTAAAGACATTAAGTGCCCTGCTGGCTGCCATGGGAACTGTCTTCCTGAAAAAGAAGAGTTTGGAAAGGGAAGCAAATCGACCTGTGGCGTCCATGGCTTTCTGTGTCCTGTTGTTGTTGTTCTGGTTTGATGTCTTGTATTTTTATTTTGAACATGAAGTTGGGTGGAGAGGGAGGAAGGGGAGATCTGAGAGGACTGGGGGGTGGGAGAGGATGAAAATGCTCAAAACACGCTGTACAAAAAGTTTAAAAATAATGAAAAAGCATAATATAAAGTAAACACCGGTGGGTGAGCAGGGTCTAGTGAGACTTGGTTTTGAATTTTTAACTGAAACGTTATTGAAATTAGTAAAATACTAGAAAAGGTCTCCTCCTAGCCCATGGACATGGAGTATGCTGAGATTTCTCTCAGAAGAAAACTCAGCTGTCCTGTGGGTTTTTTCACAATTGTTTCACAGGTAGTTCATGTGCATGGCCAAAGTGGACTCAAGCAAAAAGCAGTAACTGCACCCGCTTCTGTTTTCAATTGTTACCCTGCGGTTACTACTATAAACAATGTGTCTACATTAGATACCATCTACTCTCGTTAATGTAATAAACTCTCTCTCCATAATTTTCACTAATTCAGTTTTTACTTTTAGCATTTCTTGTACATATTTATGACTGTAAGTATATTTAATCTTTAATTTCTCACATTAGAAATGAAGTCAAAGATATATATGCTCTGAAGAGAAGACAGAGCATAATCTTCTATTTCTTAACTAATCAGCTTCTTTGAAGAATAATTCTGTATCTTCACTTAATGTGTGTGGATGTTTTGCCTGCTTGCACATCTGTGCATCACAGGAGTGAGGTGGCTCTAGAGAAAAGTGCACCAGCTCTCTTGGAAGTTGACAGTTGTTAGCTGCCAGATGGGTGCTGGGAACCAAGCAAGTGCTCTTAATGGCTGAGGCATCTCCACAGCCCCTTCAGCTTGTCTTTATGCAGTGTACACTGAGGAGGCTCACTCACAGCTCCATTCTCCCCCCCCTTCTTTCTCAACTCCAAGCAGCTAGATCTTTCCTTTTACACTGTCAAAATTTAAAATAGTCATACTCTGTTCAATCATAATCATCAATGAGCCACCATTGTCAATATGAATTAAGGAATTATGATTGGATTTACTTATAGATCAATGAGAGAAATTACAAATCAATCATGAACACTTAGAGACTAATATGAGTATTGGATAATAACGAACAGGGCAGTGGGGACTGACTCATGAAGAAGGAGGCCAACGCTTGCACATTTATGCCAAATGCTTGTCACTCTTACATTTCACTGTTCCATCGGTCAGTTCTTCTCAAGTAAATGCCAAGCCAATCTTCCTAAAAGACTGCTAAACAGTATGTGCATTTAATGTATATAAAATATATATGTAAATGACTTGTGTACAGAAAAAAGCTTTTAAAA